CTGCAAAGCCCAATTTGAGCTCCCTGAATTCCTGCCAGGTTGAACTCTGCAAGGTTCTACTACAGGTTTCCCCTGCTGTTCCCCTGAAGATAGTCCAAGTTCTGATTAAAGGTGATGATCCCTCCAACTTATCAAGTATGGAAGTCTGGTGTGCCTTTATTGCAATTGTTCACATCTGTTCTATTTTCTGGATCTCAGTAAAATGGTCATTATGACCACCTGTGCCTCTGAAGTGTGGATCCAGGTACTGGCACAAACAGGAGGCCTGAGAGCACAGGGTCGGGATGAATGCTGCAGAGGTGCCCACATAGCTGGGTGTTCCTCATCTGCCTGCTCTGATGAAGACCTGGGGCACTCTTGTTTTGTTTTTTAATTCATGATGATGAGCTATCATTCAACAGGACTTCTTAAACACAAACTGTTAAATTCCAGGAAATTTTTTAAAATATATCTTTGAAAACTTCCTCTCCTTATTTTTGTCCTCCATATATTCATATTGGACTCCTTAAATGTTCACCTCGTTTTTTCTTGCATTTTCTCCCATCTTACATTTCTTTTATTATGAGTGTTCCACTTTATTTTCTAAGTCTCCCCTTTATCTTTTCGTTGCTTGCTGTCTTTATATTTATTTACAAAATCTTTTTGTCCTCTTGATATTGTTTTAACATTCTAATTTTCTTTCATCATATTTTTTAAAATTTTACTTTTATTGGTACAATTAAACATACATAGTGATCACATTCATTATAGGGAATTTCTACCTGTAAATGAGGTATCTTGATTCCTCTCTTTTCCCCATTTGCTTCACCTCTCTTCAACCCTTGTTCCTCCCTCTCCTTGTTTCAATTTTTTCTTCTTTTCTCATTTTTTTCTTTTTCCTTCCTTCCTTTCTGCTCCCCCCATCTAGTTCCTCTTCCTTCTGAACAATTTTTTTCTTATTTCATATTGTCTATTATACATTTTGGTTCCCATTTACACTTTCAGGTACTCACATTAGAAAGATAATGTGATCTTTTTTAAAAAATTGAGTTTATTGGTACATTTTAGGCATACAGTACAGTTACATTCATTATTGGGATCTTGTACCTTTACATGACAGTGTTAGTTCTCATTTTTTCCCCTTGTCCCTGCCCTCCCTTCACCCCCTACTCCCCTCTCCATTTACAAACACTTTATTTCCATTTTTTCATTTTCTCATTTTTTTTCTTTTCCCTTATTACCTTTTCCCTACCCTTAGCACCTTCCCTACAACTTTAGCCCTTTTCTTCCTATTTCACATTGTCAATTATCTTATTAGGAACTTATGTACTATTTTAGTTTTTCACATTGGAGGAACTATTCAGTATTTACACATGTGCGACTTATTTATTTCACTTAGGAGTATATCCTCGATATGTATCCATTTAACTATGAATTAATCTAGTTTCTCATTCTTTGTGGCTGAGTAGTACATCTTCTTTATCCAGTCTCCAACTGATGGGCAAATGGGCTATTTCCAAGTTTTAGCTATTGCCTTACATATGTTGAACCATCCTTGCATCCCTGGAATAAATCTGACTTGGTCAGGATATATGATCTTCTTGATGATACTCTGTATTATGTTTGTCAGTATCTTATTAATGATTGTTGCATCTATATTCATTAAGGAGATTGGCCTGTAGTTCTCTTTTTTAGTTGCATCTTTCTCTGGTTTGGGAGTCAAAGTGATACGTGCTTCCAGGAATGAATTTGGAGGTATTGCTTCCCTTTCAATTTCATTGAAAAGTTTGAAGAGTAATGGCAGTAGCTCCCTAATAAAACAATGTGATCTTCACATATTTGTTTCTGGTTATTTCTCTTGAGTATAACTTCAAAATGTATCAATTTAGCTATAAATGTCTCAAATTTATCCTTCTTTATGGCTGAGAAATACTACATTTTATCCATTCTTTGGTTAAAGGGCATTTGGGCTACTTCCAGATTTAGCTATAAAAAACTTTGTCTCTATATACATGGGTGTGCCTATATCATTGTGGTATGATGTTTTTAATAATTTGGAGAAGATACCCAAGGAGAAGAGTTGGGTTAAGTGGTACCTCCTACCCTAGTTTTTTTGAGGAATCTCCACACTGATTTCTACAGTGGTTGCACCAGTCTTCACTCCCACCAACAGTGAAGAACGGTTCCTTTTCCACCACACCCCACAAGCATTTTTGTTGGTTGATTTATTAATACTAGCCATTCTTTCCAGAATGAGGTGGTATCTCAGTGTTGTTTTAATTTTTATCTCTCCAGCCCCCCCACCAAAAGACCTGAGGGTCAATTAAATAGATTAGAAGATGCAGAAACAACCAACCCCAAACACACTTAGCAACCTTATCTTTGAGAAAGGGATCAAACATATTCACTGGAAGAAAGATAGCCTCTTTAGTAAATGATACTGGAAAAACTGGCTTTCCACATGCTGAAGAATAAAACTAGACTCATGTCTGTGACCATGCACAAAACTAAAATCAAAATGGATCAAAGACCTAAATATTAAAACAGAAACATTTAATCTGCTGCAAGAGAGAATGCGTAAAACATTTGAAGACATAAGTGTAGGCAGAGACTTCATGAATAAAACCCATACTGCACTGGAGAAATGACAAAGAATCAACAACTGGGATCGAATCTTATTAAAAAGCTTTTGTGCAGCAAAAAAATAATCACAGAGTGAAGAGACAATCCACATAATGGGGAAAATATTGTGTCCAGCTTTCCCTCAGATAAAGGACTACTAATAAGAACATACAAAGAATTGAAAAAAAATGATGCAAAGAAGAATAATATAAGATTAATAGGAGTTCAAGAAAAAGCAGAAGAAAGCACATAAAAAAATGTTCACAGAAGTAATGACAGAAAAGTTTACAAACAGAGCAAAGGAACTTGACATACAGATAAGTGAGGCATATAGGACTCCAACTAGTTATGATAAAAAAAAATCTACACCTAGACATGTAGTAATCAAGATCCCAGAAACCCAACAGAAGAAAGAAATACTACAAACAGTAAGAGCAAAGAAATAAATTACATGCAAAGGAAAGCCCATTAGAATCACAACAGACTTATCAATACAAGTGCTCAAGTCAAGAAGAGCCTGGAATGAAATATTTCAAGCCTTAAAAGAAATCAACCTGTAACCTAGGCTGATGTATGCAAAAATGTCCTTTTTTTTTTTTTTTTTTATACCAGGGATTAAACTCAGGACCTTGTACTTGCTACGTAGGTGGCGGAAACCCTGAGCTAAATCCCTGGCCCTACAAAACTATCTTTCAAAATTCATGGAGAAATCAGATACCTTCATGACAAAGAACACCTGAGAAACTTCATGAATACCAAACCAGCTCTCCAAACAATTTTGTAAAATATCCTAGAAAAAGACAGTAAAGACCACTACTCAAATCCAATAGATAAGTTAAAAGATAAAAAAAGAACCAACAACAGGAAAATAACATGACAATGATAAGTCAATACATATCAGTTATAACCATCAATGTTAACAGCTTCAATCAAAAGAAATAAACTGTCAGAATGGACAAAGATGCAAAACCCAACAATATATTGTAACAAATCCTCAGTAACATGGGAACTAGATCAAAGAGTCAAAATTGGAATCTCGTCGTTTTAAAAAAAAATTTGTGCACTGCCAGAAAAATCACAAGCAGAGCTAAGAGACAAACCACAATGTGGGAAAAAAACTTTACCAGCTGTTCCTCAGCCAAAGGACTACTATCTAGAATATATGAAGAACTTAAACCCCCCCAAATATAAAGACCCATTTAAAAAATGGGCATCTGAAATGAAGCTATTTCTCAGAGTAAAGTAAAAGCAGCAAATAAAAATGAAAAAATGTTTGACTTCACTGGTCATTCGGGGGATGCAGATGAAAACAACACTGAGATTCCATCTCACCTAAGAAAGAATGCTACTATCAAGAAATCAACCAGTAACAAACTTGGCAGCATTGTGGGGATATAGGAACCCTTCTTAATTGTTAGTGGGAGTGAAGACTGGTGCAACCACTATGGAACTCAATATGGAGATACCTCAAACAACTTGGACTAGAAGTCCCATTTGAACCAGCTATTCTTCTGCTGGGTATCTTCCCAAAAAGAATTGAAAGAAGCATTGCACAGAGATATATGCTAACCCATATTTATAATTTATAGCAGCATAGTTTTCAATAGTTATAATTTGGAGACAGCCCAATTGCCCATCAACTGGAGACTGGATAAAGAAGACATACATGAGTACTACTCAGCCATAAAGAATGAGAGACTAGAGATATTTATAGCTAAGTGGATGCACATTGAGGCCATACTTTAAAGTAAAATTAATAAGACTCATGTGTAAATACCAAATAGCAAATAGTTTCTCTGGTGTGATATACTAAAAGTGTAAATAAGGATCAAAGTGTATAATTGATATTGTGTAATAGGAAGAAAAGTCTAAAAGAGTAGAGGAAGTGTGAGGGGTAGGGGAAAGGTAAAAAGGGAAAAGAAAAAATATGTAAAAAATGAAAAACATGGAAACAATGTCTTTGTAAACAGGGAAGGGTGGAGAGGGTAAAGGGAAGGCTAGGAAATGAGAGAAAAATAAGAACCAAATAAGTCTTGTAAAGGTACAATATCCCAATTATAAATATAACTATATTGTATACCTAAATTACCAATAAACTTAATAAAAATTTAAAAAGGAAAAAAAAAAAACAAAAAAATCACACCCTAAAATTTAAAGACCCAATAAATAAAATGGGCATCTGAAATTAATGGACACTTCTCAGATGAACAATTATGAAAGGTAAATAAATATATGAAAAATTTGTTCAACATCTCTTTCATTGTCCCATCTACAGGATACTAGCAGTGAGAAAGCTTGGGGATGAACTCTAAGTTATTTTTAAATTTTTCTTCAGTTTCTTGTTTTGCACTTATGTCCCCAAAATTCCTTTCCTCTTTTCTTTAATTCTAATGTTGTAGAAGATTTCAACAAATTCAAGATGACTCTGGCTGTTTATTCATATGGAAGAGTGGGTGCTAAAATACAGAGCAGATGTTTGGTAAGCATAGATTCAACTGCTTGACAGCAAAGCATTGTACCAGAGTGATTTTGTAAGAACTCACCTATGTAATTGGAAGATTGCTATCTGCTAATTTATATAGATACTTTTGCTGTTCAATTTATCCAGAAAGAAATATTTCAAACCCTTGCTTTCATAGCACAAACCACATTTCAGACTACTGGGAATCAATTCAAGGAGGATAAACAAGTGCAGGTTTTTACTTAGTTCTCAGGTTTTTAGTAGGGCATCTTTCCTTCAGCTCTGTTTGGTTTCTGTGAAACCTGCTTAGGTCTTGGTTTAAACAGTCAAAGTGCAAAGCTTTTGTCTGCTTGGAGGAAGAAAAGATAATCAGCTGGATGCTCAGAAAAGGGGAATTACTTTAATGTCTCTAAAGTAGACTTTCACCCAATCCTTCCTCTGAAAAGTCCTTTCTACATCTGATTTCAGAAGTACCTGGTGTAACCATTTCCTGAGACTTCATTGTATTCTACATCCAGATTCAGCCACTCTGACCTTTCCTTCCTATTACTCTTCATGGAGCTATTGTTCAGTATAGTTGAGTTTAGATTTTAAAATTTCTCATGCATGTATGTGACAAGAAATGTTTTCAGTAGAAAATTTTGAAAATTAAAATGTTACCAAATCAGTCATGTTTTTTCAACCTTTTACTGGTGTATATATCAAGATTTCTTCTTGAGAATAAGAACCATAGGTAACCATTGTTTCTAGCTCAGAGATTCCAGAGGAAAACCAAGGAGATTTAATGAGACTTTTTAAAAAATTTAAAAAATGTATTTTTCAAGACATTTTTTCCCATCCCAATACTTTATCTTTTTGTATATATGGCAGCTTTTGAATAAATCAAGAAGTTCAAGGTGGTAGAGAAAGAGTATTTAAATTGATGTACTCATCAACAGGCAGAAGTAGAAGGAAGGCTCGCCTTCTCTTCCCTAAGTAGGGGGACGTTGGTGTGTTCCTTGGCAGTCACTGAAGACCTTCAATCTCAATCTTAAATCTGACCACCAGTCCCTCTTCATTTTCTTACAGCCAGCCAAGGGAGTTTTTGGATTTTTAGAAAGCTAATATATAAATGGTGCTACAGGTGTTCCTCAGGAGAAGATAATCTTTATAGCAGACCAAATATTGAAGCTCAAAACAGAATTCATAGGAATTTTGATATTTGCCAGTAATGGTTATTAAACTACATTTTGCCAAACTAACATCACAATCTTGAACTTCAGGCCTATTGCAGTTTCTCTATTGGTAAAATATTAGTAAATTAATGAAATTAACAGTACAAATTAAATTTGTAATGGAATGCTAATTTCTCCACTTCTAGTAATATCCATTTCTTTCACATGCATGAAGTTCTCACTTTGGTAAAGATTACAATGTAGAAAACATACTACACATGGCATCTAATCGACATCGTGAGAAAAAAGAATAGTCAGTACAAAGAGACATTCAAGATATTTTCAACTTATTCACATAAATAATGAAAATAGAACAATTACAGAATAGTTAACTGTGGGTAAAGACAGCCACAAAAAAAGAAATATTTTAAAACAATAGCATGTGAAAAGAAATGTTGGCATCATTAATCTTTTGTTTAATTGACATTTGTTGAAGATCTGCAAGTGCAAAACCCTAGCTGCTCTCATGATGCTGTAATATGGAAAGGGTGGTATTACACAGAACACTGAAAATCGACATGGTATTTCAGGTTGTCAAAAGAAACAATGAAAGGTTTGAGAGGGCTGCAGTGTTGTTCTAGGTAGTAGAGTCCCGGTAGGCCTGTTTAATGAAGTGTGTGTTTGTTCTCAGTTTATTGCCTCTTGGCTCCAAATTTATCCTCCTTTGCCCTGCTTTGTGTTAGCTGGCTCTTTCCCCGGTTCACTCTTCCCCTATCTCCCTTAGAGATTGAGCATACTTCCTAAATCTATCTATATATTCTTTAGTGTTCCCCGTACCTTTCCTGGTAGCAAATCCACTCTATCTGGTCAATAATTCTTTATATCAAATTCTCTCCATTCAAATCACTGGTGTTTCTCTTTCCTGAATGGACCATGACAAAGACCACAACAATACACCAGAGACCTAATATCAGACTGTTTTCCATAACTGCGTCTGTGGCAAGCAGTCTCCTGGCTCACAACTCCAAGCAAAGTCTTTAAAATGGGAGCATAGTTACATATTTAAGAATAGCAGGAAGGACAATGTAGCTACAGTTAGAAAGGAACATGAGGAAGGGAAATGTAGAGAGAGAGTGGAGGCCAGATTGCATAGGATTTCTTATGAGAAGGCACCCAAGGCAAGGAGTTCATATTTTCTTCTTAAAGTGGTATGAGAAGCCTTTGGAGAGGAAGAATCGGGGAACCATAACTGACATGAAATGATTTGTCCTTCAAAAGATCACAGTGTTTCATGGCTATAATGCCAGCACCCTGGGAAGCTAAGGTATGAGCATTGCAAGTTCAAGATCTGGTGAGCAACTTAGCCAGACCCTATCTCCAAAAGGGTTAGGGCAGGGGAGATTCAGTGCAAAAGCCCTGGGTTCAATCCCTAGCACTGAAAGGAAAAAAGATAACTCTTGCTGTGTGTGTAGACTAGATTAACAAGAGGGATCTAAAAAGTGCAAACTACACAATGACATACTGTATTTTCCCAATCCGGCATTAAGATTTTTATTATTAACACAAACTTCCTATTAGTGGAGAATAAGTTCATAAAAATTTTATTGGAAGAAAATTAATAATATTTCTTGAGAGCCTCACAGCTGGAAAAGTGTAGCAATCAAAAGAGAGGCTTTAGACTTAGACTTGTGCTCTGGTCCTGGTTCTGTTCCTTATTACATACCTGGTTTGGAGTAAGTCACCTACATTCTGAGCCTATTCTTTAAAAAAGGCTTCAGAAATGATTCTTAGTTCACAGAGTTAAATTAAGAAAGTAATATATAGGTATAAAAATAGATTGACTTACTGTATCAGGTCAAGTTCATTAAATATAGGGACTAATCTGTCAAAAATAATAGGAATGGCTTTGGAATAACTGATCTAAAATCTTTGCTTCTATAACTAATGGACTTTTAAATTTTTCTTCTTTCTTTTTTATTGGTACATGTATACAGTGCATAATTATTACAACCATTGTAGAGAGCTGATATTTGTACATAACACAACTTAATTCTTTCTTTTGTCCCATTTGCTGCTCCTCCCTCCATCTCTGATCCCCTTCCATTTTGGAAAATTTCCTCCTGTTTCCTATTTTCTGTTTTTCATTTTGCTCTTTAATCTATTTATACTTTGAGGTTCTGATAGAAAAAGAAAGCATGCAGTATTTAGGCTTGTGTGTCTAATTTATTTCACTTAAACTTGTAGTCTCTGGGCGCATACATTTTTCTACAGAGGAATCAAATTTATGTTGTTCATGGCAGAAGTAGTACTCCATTGTATATATAATAAAAGAACTGGAAAATCAAGATTTGTGTCAGTTTACTACAATAAATTCTAGGGCTGGAAATTTAGCTCAGTGGCACTGCACCTGCTTCTCAAGCACAAGGTCCTGAGTTTGATCCAAATTTCTGGATATGCTTCTGTAATTCACATCATCTTGGATGGAATACAGCTTGATTATCAAAATGAAATCAGCTAGATATATACATAGCTTATCAAAAATATGTATGATTGTAGTGTTTTCCCTAATTTTGAAAGTTTTATTCAAGTGGCCAGGCATCTGTGGAATGTTTCATTTGCCACAGCCTCAAAGAAACTAAAAGATTGGTTTTCTCTATAAAATATTGAAAAAGAAGAAAATGAATCACTTATATCTTACCATATACCAAAAAAAAGTACGTGGTACTGTAAGGGTGCCTTGAGTGATTTCCAATGTTACTACTTATTATGTATCAAGTATAATTTACAAAAGGAGACACCTGGGAATCTTAGGAGTGAGGGAAGACATGGAAAGTAATATATTTTAAATATTTTAAAAACTTTTATACATCTGACCAACCTCATATTAAGACCTCGGTTTTCCCATTTTTATTATACTAATTTGTCTTTGGACACTTACAGAAATTGTAATGTTTTAAATATTTAGGACATATTTGCGGGCACTTCATAAATTTAATTATATCTCATTATAAAATTATTTAAAAGAAAGAATTGCGTGTAGATTGGTATAATATAACAAAACTATGTTTAATAACAGGCCATTAGTCAAACAGAAAAGACTATGGCAGTGAGTAGGCAGAGAGTCCTCAGACTTCCCCTGTGAAGGCCGCACCATCAAGTCCACCATGACTTCCACAGTAGTTTAGGTGAGCCCTTCCCACTCTCCAACTACTGTCTCTCAGAGGCTAAAATGTATGCTTAGAAAAAGTTAACATTTAATCATAGTTCATATTTTTACCTTGAGGAAATCTGAAATACACTACTGATTTAGATAGAAATATAAACCACTCCTGTGGCAGTTTCATTGATATAAAGAAATGACATGGATAAATATTTTTAAATGAAATATATAAATATATTAATGATATAAATATTAGTCATTATGTAATCTCTGTGTGTAATGAAATAAACCTAAACATCAAAAAATAATCTATTGTGCACTTTGGAAGCAATTGTTTTTGGTGCATCACGATGTACTCATGAAGTTCTTAGTAGGAACACAAATGTTGATTCAGGTAATCCATCCAGAAGCAATGTGCTCTGTTTGTACACATGGTTGAAGGTTATATTTACACAGGCACAAGTCAAACTTCTCAAACATGGTAGGATACTCACACACAAAGAATAATTTGTTTTGCAAGGATATTAAAGTTTAGCTCTCGGCTCCATTACCTAACTCCTAAACATTTTTAATCACCATCACCATTCCCGACCCTCAGCAGTACTAAAGCCTGAACATGCTTGGCAAGTGATATCCCACTAAGCTACCTCCCCAGATCGACTATTTTCAGTTCAAAGAACAGAAAACCTCAGCTTTGCTTGTTT